GGATGGAGTCTCACTGGCTTCTCTTGTGAAAGGGAAGTTAGCTCAACCTCTCAGTTCGGCGGGCCTCTGCCATCGGAGCGCGATGGCCTCTCTGGCCTCTCTCCGTCGGAACGTCCGGGCAGCACGCGGTGCACTTGTTCAAGGACTCGTATCTTGTGTATTCACCGAAGTCGGTAGTACGTCCTGATGTAGGCGGCCTCGCCCTGGTAGTGGTTCACGGGGTTGTGGCGAAGCTCGTGCACGTCAGTCGTCTGGCTCATCGTCATCGCGTCTCGGACGTGAATCTTCTTGGCCTCGGAGTCCTGCTTGGCGACGAGCTCGCCGTCGGGCTCGGCCCTCGAGACCGTCTCGGGCGTCTCCATCAGCGGCAGCTGCATTGTGTTGATGATGGGCACGGTCGATGGCGGCCCGGTGAGGTGCCACACGATAGTAATGACCAACAAATGCACCATTGCAAACACGAAGCCAAACGCGAAACCCTTGAGGTAGATGAGCCTTTCCACGGCGTAGGACTCCTTGGCACAGGTGGTCGTCACGTCGAGCGGGTACCTCAGTTCCTGTGAGCTCTGCAGAGGCCACCCCTTGCTACGGGTAACTAGCGAAGCGTGGGTCAGCATCTGGATGAGATTATTGTCCATGAACTTTGGCGAACTTGACGTCGCGACGGACATGATTGCCATGAGCATGGCCGTTCCCATGACCTTGGTCAACGCGTTTGCCACCGTAGGTCTCCACCGTAGCACATGCCGCAGGTACGACCGTCTCCCTGACCATGCTCACAACAATCCTGAGCCTACTGTGCTGGACAACTCCAGAGAACTTCTCGACGGTTTCCTCTAGTTTCTTGCTGTCCGTGATGGTCGTCGTCTTGATGTTCTCGGAGTCGGACTCCACGTCCTTGAACTTGGGTGGTGTGCCAATATTGGCCGCCAAGATGAGCTCTATGAATACCTGCCAGTGCCAATCGGCGTACTCGGATGCCTCGTTGATCGCGTAGGCCTCGGCACTGAGGCTGCTGTGCACGACCCGGCTGACTCGTCCTGAGCACCACGTGAGCGGAATCACCGCAATGAATTTTCCCAGGGCGTCCTCTTCAGGGCGTCCTCTTCAGGCTTGTGGGTGAGGCCTCCTACCAGGCCGCATTAGTGGTTTCTCGCCCTCGGCATTCGCGAAGGCCGAGTCTCGGTAGAATGCAAGCTGGGCTCGTAGTAGCTACACGCGGCCTCGTACCATTCGAACTCCAAGCGTAGAGCTTTGCTGGAGCTCGAGAACAAATTTGTTGTTGAGGTCTATCATGTCCTGGAACTTCAGCTCGCTGATCATCGGCGCCGCCATGTTCTGCTTGCATGCTGCGCCAGGCCTCGTTCGTGTAGCAGCCCATTGGACCTGCCCGTTGGTGGTCCTGAATCAGCTGATCTCCTCTAGCGTCGCCTCGGCCGCTGGCGTCCTCTTGCTGTGCGACGTGATGGGTATGTAGTCGATCCCCTTGATGGGACATCTGCACGCGCGTGCCCAAGCAGCTCACGTCGCAAACTTCCATGCCGAGGTGCAGCCGCTTCACGAGTACGTGTAGCACCTTTCGGACTTTGGTCCGATGGCTTGTCCCATGCTGCTCGGCCTGGGCAAGTGCCCGGAGGCGGATTCTCCAGCGGCATCTTGAGACTCAGGACTTTGTCGATGCCCTCGACTTGAAGGTACGCGCTCTTGGCGTCGTAGAACGCCTTCCGAGCCTGATTGGGCAGCGAACCCAGCCGTAATCCAGGAGGCGTCATGGATTCCAGTGGGAGCGTCGGCGCGGTTGTCGATGTCGCGCTCCTGGCCGATTTGAACGACCGATCTTGCCTTGGACTCATCAGCGCCTTTGCCGGTCAGTGCCCACCTCGTACCAACGACCTTGAGTTTGGGCTCCTGTTGCAGTATCACTTGTAGCTCCTCCTTGGTGCAGTACCGCACGGCATGCAAGGCCAACCATTTTTCCCATTCCGATGCCATGGCCTTTCTCATGTTTACATGTTTTTGCCATTTAGGCCCTTGAAGGTGAACCCCTTGCTCCTTGACTTTCCGACTAAGTCATCGCGCCTGAAGCGAGTCCCGTAGAGAGTGGAGTAGTCGAAATTGACGGGCTCCTTCAGCGACCACTCCATGATGAGGTGCTCGTCGACGCGCTGCTTCTTGCTCGCCTGCTGGCTCGCGAGGTTCGTCTGGATGCTGTGAGGCAGGTCGTCAAGGTGGTCGCATCGTCGGCGGCGTTGCGGTGGCGTCGTCTCGGTTACCGTCTTGGCGGGGCCAGGCATTGCCTCGCCCAAGTCGGGCTCACATTCCAGGTCAGGCACACCATCGAGATCGAGGTCTTGGTCGTGGTCTGGCTCCTTCTGGTCCAAATGCGTCTCAGGCTCCTCTGGGGGGGCGTTCTTCCTCGGGGTCCATGATGGGGACGGGAACCTGCTCGGCCTCCTCGTAAACAGTGATTGGCGCTGCGGTCGGCGCCCGCGCCAGCCAGCACGGGCGTCTCGGCCTCCATGCGAGGTCGGCGGGGTCTGGACGGTACGTGGACCTTCTCCTCTTCTGCGTCGATGCCAGCGTCGGCGTCGGCGTCGGCCTTCGAAAAATGTAACTGTTTGGTGCGCTTCGCCTGCGATCGGGCGACTCGTCCTCGGGCTCGGCGGGGATTGGGATTGGCTCCTCCTCGACCGAGCCGCTTCGAAATCCAAGCCAGGCTGGGCGCTTGCCTGTAAACTGGCGCCTGGAGCTTGGATGGACCTGGGGCGGCCTTGGGATCTCCTACTCGTCGGCGGCCGTGTCGAAGTAGTCGGTATTGGCGCCTGGCGCGGGGTCATGGTAGGGAGTCTCCTCTTGGTGTTCCGGCTCGTCCAGGTTGGCGAGAGCGTCGAAGGTCTCGTTCCGAGGAAAGCATTATTCTGGCAGTGTTGGCCGCAAGTGCTTCGGCGAGCACTTCAGCGTAGCGTTGCAGTGGGAGACCCACGCGTCGTTGTCCTCATAACTGATGGCGACTCCTGGGCCATGCCATTTGAAGTTCCACGTCTTCTTGGCCTTGTTGAGAACCCACCAGTAGAACACCTGGTCTCCGATGCTGAAATTGAGGCTGGAGGGCCGAGCTGCTTGGCCACGGTTCTTGGCCAGAAAGATGGCCGAAAGTGTCCTGTCGTATTCGACGGCCTGGGCTGCGCGCTGGGCTGCAGACAGAATGCCCACGCTCTGCTGGAAGGTCGCATCTTCTTGAGCCCGCTGGCGTAGGAAGAGCCGCGCATGGTTGGACAGGATGCGGTACGGTAAGCGGCAGCCGCGTCCCAGCACCAATTGGACACGGCTGTAGCCCGATTGGTCAAATTTGCTGTTATTGGCCCAGTTCACGACGCCAGGCACCGTGGAGTCCAGCTGGTATTCGTCGATGTTGGCCTTGGCGATGCATTTCCAATCGCCACCGTGCCTCTCGCAGACGCTGTTCTGGGTGGGGCTCAGTGCGGCGGTGGCGATCAGCTCTAACCACATGCCTTCGAGCTCACCTTGGAACTCCCGCTCGAACTCGCCACCCTGGTCGGCCATGCTGGCACGGGTTCGTCCATCCCAGCTCATCCACTTCGTGAAGAATATAGTTCACGAAGTCGCAGGTCGCTTGTCGAGCGGAGGCGCCACAAGCTGGAAGTGGGTGGCCATGTCGACGCTGTTCTGCAGCTGGGCCTCCTTGCACTTGGCGTCGGCGAGTTTCATGAGGCCGGTAGCTACGCAATCTCCAAAGTCACGAAATTTTGAGCATAGCAAAGTTGGTGTCGATGTGTCGGGAAGCTTACGCTTCTCGCAGTATGAGCATATGTGAGTTTCATTTGCGGCGATGGCCTCAGCTGGGCCTCCTTGGAGGCGTATGGCTCTGGCCAAGGTAGCGGTGGTCGGGTGGCCCGCGTTGGTGTGCGCGAGCTTCACCTCGCGTTCGAGATGGACCCGCTCTGCCCGATCCATTGCGTCCAGGATCCGCTCGGCGCGGGCCGTGATCTGACGGGCATGGGCCACTCGGAGAACATCGTGGCTTTGTCGTATTGCGCGTAGTCTTGCCGCGATCGCCTTGACCAGCGGCACGTTGTAGCGGCCCGTCGCGGCGAGTTCATTGCCACCGAATGCCTTGGTGTGCTGGTGCTTGCTGTCATATTTCTTGAAGGGCTTGTCCACCAATGGTTGATGGCTGGTCAGGGCGCGGAATCGTTTCGGCCTGAGACCCCAGGATCTTCCAGATTTGGGCGAGCTCCTTCGGCTTGAACTTCGGGTTCCAGATGCCGCTCACGAATGGTAGCTCGAAAGCCCATCGGGATCGACTCCGAACGTAGCTCTCGTAGCAGCCAGAGAACGTTCCGCAGGGTCTTCTTGTTGTCCTGCTTCGCGAGCTTGAGTCGTACACCTTACACGTTGGGCCAGCGTCCTGGAGTTCCAGAGGCGCTGGCACGTACACCACGGAGGGCATGGGGTGTTGTTCCAGATCTACAGGGACATGGTCGTTCTTCTTTTCGCGACGTACCTTGATCAGGATACCTGTCATTGCCGCCTTCTTTCTCAAGTCGCGCTTCGGCAGGTGGACGTGAAAAGCTTTGTCAGACCTCCCAGCGTGCCTGAACTGCTCCCCAAACACATGGCTGCGGCAGTCTGCCCATCAACTTGATCTGCTCGGTCGAGCTGGACGAGTCGCTCGACTCGGTTGGGGGCCACGTTGTGGTCGTGAAGCGTCTTTTTGTGTTCGTGATCTGTGCCAGGTTCTGCTTCAGCTGGCCGCACTTCATGAACTCCCAGTTTCCGTCCTTCACGAGGTTCGAGTGGTTGTGTCCCGTCTTCCTACGAGTAGGGGCTCCCGATTATGTTCCACACACCCCTTCCAGTGTCACCCTCCCCCCCTGCCCCTGCCGCTCCTCAGTGCGTCCCCCCCCCATCCGCAGTGTGTCTCCCCCTTCCCTTTCTCCTCGTGGTTCCGCAGGGGAGGGGGGGGGGGGGGGCGCGAGGCGCTGGCGGGCTGGCTGCAGCGGGACGGCAAGGCTGAGGTTCCCGCGCTTGCAGGGAGCGGGGCGGGAATTCGGGGCGGCGCTCGGCCAAAGACGGGAAGAAGGGGAAGGGGGGGGGCAGGGAGGGGAGGGGAGGGGGGGAGGGGGCGGCCTTAGGCGAGGGGGAAAGAAAAGGAGGGGAGGTAGCTCCAGGGGTCTCACCCAGATGGTCCAGCTGACCGAGGCGAGGGGAGGAGCGTGACATCACTCTCCCTTTCGTGGCATCTACTTCCCTTCCGATGTTTGATGCTGCTGGGGACGCCTGTCCTGGACAGATATTGCCACTGTCAACGGCCAGCAAGATTCTCACGGCTGTTTTCCTAGATCACGGGCGGGCTGGCATCACCATATTCCGTAGAGCAGCAGCAGGAATAGCAGAGCAGGAGCAGCAGCAGGAAGTTGTTCTTTAGAGTTTCGATATTCCTTCGCCCCCCCCCCATTTTACCGCTACCTGAGCTCCGAGGCGTGTGGCCAGTCAAAGAACGACCCGCCACCGCTCCCCACATCCAGGCCGCTCCCATTTCTTCCCAGCACGCTGTCGTCCAGTGCGCGGACAAGTGGCGTCGCCCGGAATGCCAGTGGTTGGTCGATGGCGGCCAGATCGAAGTTTTCGCACGCACGCAGTGCGTACCATACCAGTCGAATTGTTGCGACAGTTCTCAAGGGGTTGAGGGCGTGTTCCACGGTCGGGGCCCGAGGGCCATCAAGGGAATATTGGTACACAGAACACATGGTTTCCGAAGTCCCGCGGTGACGAATGTTGTTCTGCACCAGATGTGGGCATACGGCCACACATGACGTCGCAAAGCTAGCATCCATTTGCCCTCTGTCAGAGGCAGTTTGCGCGGACTGAATTGCCGCACCCACGGGCGAAGTGCAAGAGAACCTAGTAGTTAACATCCGCAGCGGATTTCATCCGTCCCGCGCTGGCCCCTCACAGGCGATTTTGGAGGCCAATCATCAAGTTGCGACTGAACAAGTTGTTCGAACCGCTATCCAGCAGGTGCCCACTCTTTCGCTTGTCGCGAGCTCGGGAGCGAGCACCCGTGCAGGCTTGAAAATGCGCTCTTTACCCTTCCTCCGCTCAGGAAGGGTATTTCTGGCATTGATTGCCCCTCGATCGATGGCCGAGGGAACCTTCGCATTGACCCCGTCGCACCAGAGGACTCAGCAAGGGCGCTCCGTCGCCAACTCACTCAGACGCGAAGGTGCCCATCTCCTACAGGCCCAGCCCCCTGTGATTCCTGAGAGTAATGAATCGAGTTCCGATTGACGTTCTCTGGTGTGATTTATAATTTGTGGGGTGGCTTGTCGTGGCCAGCCGGTGGATGGCGCCACCACCGGTGGGGCCGAACATCGTCTGATGGGCCCCCCCACCACGTTCGAAGTTGGTAGAGAGACATAGTCCCAACGTTGTAGCTCAATGGTTCAATAGCTCCTCCTCCTCGTCCTTGTCCTCCTCTCCAAACGTGCTCCTCATCCACCATCCCTTTTCCTGATGAGTAGTTCCGCCTCAATTGCACCCCCAATCGTGTCGGTAGTGCGGGGCTGTCGGTTTGCCTGAGGCTTCCGCACGACTCATGATCTTGAGGTTTCGAATGCGCACTAGTTTCAAAGATGGAAGGTTTATTCTCAACGCGAGTCTCTCGCCTCTGCGCCGCGCAACTCCGTCTTATACGCTTGCAAGAGCTTCAAGGGTGGAGGGCGGCTCCTGTTCAACATGTGGCTCTCGCTTTAGCGCCGCGCACCAGGAATGGTGGTCTGGCACGAAGTATGACCCTCAGGTGGCGGCAGTCATTTTTATTCGCTGTGTTGAAGTCCCAGGAATGCGTCCTGCTACGATTTTGGATTGCCAAGACGCAACGGTCACATAGATTCGCCGCGTTGAAGTCTCAGAAAAGGTGATTTGGCACGATTGAGGATGTTCAGACGGTTGTCTTTCAATGGGGCATTTCTCTCACCGATAACATATTGATGTAGGGACCTATGAAGAGGAGGTCGAGTGCAACATCGTTGTTGCGTGTTGGGTGTGCACTTGTCCTCCTCCTCCTCCTCCTCCTCCTCCTCCTCGTTCTCCCTCCCTCATCCCCTCCCCTCTTGGTGGCGTTCGCTCGCCCTATCCTCCCCCGGTACTCCACTGCCAGGGCCCCGGGATCCACGGCGCCGCGCCTGCCAAGCCCCCTGCGCCTCGGCTTCCCGACGAGCTGGAGCCTTCGGGACCGGCGCGCGACGAGGACTTGGCGCGGTCCACCGCAGACGACGATGACGACAATGCGGTCGGACCGAGGTGTAAGATCGAGGTCGGTTCAGGGAGGGTGCCCTAATGTTCGCCGTGTTTGTTGGATATTCCACCCTCGAATATTCTTCAGTTTGGGACAGCGGAGGGTCTCGTGTTCTTTAAGACTGTTATCCGTAAGGGCTTCGCCCCTTGCCGCCGGCCCCCTCTCTCGGAAAATGGGCCATGGAAGAGCGAAGTCATGAGGCTTTGGCTTCGCCGTGAAGCAGTGTCGGGACCTGTTTGTTTCTCGACCATGACGGATCTGCGTCACGGGTGCCACCGGATTTCAGAAACGTGGCAAATCCCCTGTGTTTTTGGACCCTGACCCTACGGATCTGCGTGAGGGGTGCCATCGAATTTCAGAAATGTGGCAAATCCGATGTGTTTGTGAACCCTGACCCCGCCGATCTGCGTGAGGGGTGCCACCGAATTTCAGAAATGTGGCAAAAATCTCATGTTTTTGGAGCCTGACCCCGCCGATCTGCGTGAGGGGTGCCATCGAATTTCAGAAATGTGGCAAATCCGATGTGTTTTTGAACCCTGACCCCGCCGATCTGCGTGAGGGGTGCCACCGAATTTCAGAAATGTGGCAAAAATCTTATGTTTTTGGAGCCTGACCCCGCCGATCTGCGTGAGGGGTGCCAGCGAATTTTAGAAATGTGGCAAATCTTGTTTGTTTTTGGACCCTGACCCCGCCGATCTGCGTGAGGGGTGAAGCCGAATTCCAGAAATGCGGCAAATCTTGTTTGTTTTTGCATCCTGTCCCCGCCGATCTGCGCGAGGGGTGCCATCGAATTTAAGAAATTTTGCAAATCCCATGTGTTTTTGGACCCTGATCCTGCCGATCTGCGTGCGGGGTGCCACCGGATTTCAGAAATGTGGCAAATCCCGTTTGTTTTTGGACCCTGGCCCCGCCGATCTGCGTGAGGGGTGCCACCGTTTAGAAATGTGGCAAATCCCGTTTGTTTTTGGACCCTGACCCCGCCGATCTGCGTGAGGGGTGTCAATTGTTATTCGCCCCAGCAATTTAGACAATACGATTTGGGCGTGGTAAACATGCCCGTTTTGGGCCTCCCCCCCTCGCGCGGTCCATCAACAAGGAACAGTAAGCAGCAAGAAGTCAACAAGGAACAGGAAGCAGCAAGAAGCAGAACTGTAACAGTGGAAACTGGAAGCTGCAGCTAATACAGGACACTGCGATGCTTAGCCCTACAGCCTGGTGGCCCCACAAGGGGGCCGGCGGATTCTCTCCTAGGTCCGACTGTAATGACGACGACGTCGATAACGAGGACAGCTACGACGACGACGAAGACGACGAAGACGACGACGGGCAAACACGAGCACGAGGATGAGCAAATACGGATGAAGAGGGTGGACGACGCACGACGACCTCGACGACGACGACGACCTCGACGACGACGACGACGACGACGACGACGACGACGACGACGACGGACGGCGACGGACGGCGACAGACGACGACGACAACGACGACGGACGACGACGGAAGACGAGGATGGACGACGACGGACGACGATATTTACAGTGACGATCACGCCGCCGACGACGACGACAACAACGACGACAACGACAACGGCTACGACGACGACGACGGACGACGACGACGCTGACGGTGGACGACGACGACGACGATGTCGACGATGACGACGGACGAAGACGACGACGACGATGACAACGTCGACGACAGACGACGACGGCCGACGACGGACGATGATGATAATGTCGACGACGACGACGACGGCGGACGACGGTGGACGACAAAGATGACGAAGATGGCGACGGACGACGCAGGCGGCATCGACGAAGTCGAAAACGGCGGCGTCGACGGCGACGACGACTGTGACGACGGAGAAGAAGAGAGGGAGGGGGGCCCAGGAGGAGGGGGAGGGGGTGGGGGACAAGCTAGGTGCGCTCGCGTCATATCTGACATCCTACCCCTCCCATCCCTTACCATGGCGTAGATCCCCTCTCTACTCGCACAGTCGGATGTTGAGCAGGGCAATGATCCCGAAAGTGTACGCGATGCATTGTAGAGCACGGCATGGCATGGCGTAGAAGAGCACCGCAAAGTGTAGTATGTCACAGCATGGCGTGGCGTGGCGTAGTGAAGAATTGCATCACAAAGCTTTGCAACGCAAAGCATGGCATCGCACAGCGGCCCCGAACATAACATTGCATGCCATGGCGTTGAAGATCAAAGCGTAGCATGGCATAGCATGACGTGGCACTTACGCACTGGATATGACAGCTGCAGCTGAAGGCATGGCATCGCGCAGCGGAACGCAACCTAGCATTGCATTGCATGCCGTGGCCTGGCACGGAAACTGACGCCAGCGCTGCAGCGGGAGCACGATTCGGAACGAGCGGAGGCAAGGAAATGAGGCCAGCGCTGCAGCGGGAGCACGATTCGGAACGAGCGGAAGCCCGAAAATGAAGCCCGCGCCTCAGCGAGAGCATCATTTCGAAAAAAACCAAGCGAAAACCCAACTCCGGGAAGTCTTGGATGTAACAAACAGTACGCGGAGGGGTGTCCGCTATCTTCCGCACGCCATCAGGGGATGGAGGAGAGTGTATTCATATTGTGTAAGTGTGGAGGAGGAGGAGGAATGGGGGAGGAATGAAAGGGGAGATGGTGCAGCAGCGGAAGCGGGAGGGATCAGGATAAGCAGGAGGACCAGGCAAACGCCCAGCAAGGAGGAGGAGGATCACAGCAGCAGCAGGAGGAAGAAGGAGTCGTCGGGAGCTGAGTCCGCCGCCGTTAGGTTCCGTCGCTGGCGACCGAGGGCACCAGTTTCGGGAATATGGGCCACGGGGCGGTCGGTGGGCAATTCTTCTGTTCGCCTGGGTTCTGCGACCATTTGCGAATCCTGACCCTGCGGGTCAAAGTAGGTATTGATGAATGCCCTGATTCCAATCTACTTCAGGTGCCTTCCTACTTTAAGAGTCGAGGGGTTGTCACTCTGCCCTCCTCTTCAGGGGGCGGGCGGAAGCCCAATCTACTTTCAACCCCTTCCTACTTCATGTTTCTACCCACTTCTCCCGACCGACGTGTAAGGTTCACATGTGATTGCCTATCGGCGTATTGGCACACACGACGGAGCTTGGGCCCCGAGGGAACCGGGGCCCCGAACCCCGGGGCTTCTCCTCTTCTGGAGCCGTCTGCAGAGGGCGTTGTGCCCAGGACGATCGGGGCTCAAGAGACGGGGATCGATGCAAACGGGGGTCAGTCAGAGCGCTGGGGATTTTGCAGGATCCTGCAAGGGTTGCATTGACCCAGGCTTGTGCGCAGGATCTCGCTGGATCTTGCTTGATCCTGCAGGAGCCTGCAAGGCCTGACTGACCCGGGTTTGCCTTGACATGGGGCAGTAGATCCCCGAGACGAGCCCCAGGAGGCAAGCGGCCGAAATTGCTTTGAGGACCTGCGTTCAGGACCGGTTTTATGTAGCCGTTGATGCCGACTCTCATGCCCCTGCCTTGCCATCGTTCGGACGTGTTTCTTTATTCCTTCGGCGAGGACCATCGAGCAGCATCTTGGATCACCTTCCGAAGCAATACACGCACGAAGCCGAAGAATGCACGGAGAATGGACGTCCGAGCGATTGCAAGCTGCCCCCCATTGGCTCGGTTCGTGCTGCTGCTGCTGCTGCTGCTGCTGCTGCTGCTGCTGCTGCTTGCGCGCTCCAGCGCCCTCCCTGGGCGGGCGCGCATGGGCCTTTGACTTCATGCTATGCAGTCTTGGCATCGACCGCGCCGCACGGCCGCCAGCGTCGCGACACAAATAGTGTGTTTGCTTTTTTGGTTGCCTCCTCGGGAAATCCGAGGAGGTGGCCGTCTCCGTTTCAGGCGGCTCCTACCCCACCGCCGATCGTCGTCGTATGCATTGACGTCCGCAGCCGGCGCGTTCTACGGCCAGCGGTTCCTCCTGCTCGGGGCAGGCGCACAGTTCGCCACCGTCGCAGGTGCATCGCGTCAGTAGCCATCCTGCCCCTGGGCCAGTGGAGGGTGCAGGGGGCCCGAAGACGACGAACACACATCCATGACCCGTTCCCTTCAGGATTTCTCTGCCACGCGCAGAGGGGGGGTAGGGGGAGGGGGAAGGATTCTTAGAAGCACCCTTGCTTCTTAGAAGGCGCGGGCCTTGTCTGTAGATGTAAGGCCCGCGCCTTCTGAGAAGCAGCCTCCTTCTAAGAAGCCGTCCCCCCTCCCCCTACCCCAGTGCGCGCCGCCAGATTTCTCGCCCGCGGAGCTCACAAAAGTCGCTTCATGGACGTCTCTTGGGGCGCGTTCCGACCAACATGTCAACGGGAGTCTAGCCGTGCCGAGGTGGGCGCCCCAGGAGGCCCACAAGCGCAAAATGAGCACGAGCATAAAAAACAGGAATCCTCAGACTTCATGGCTCGATCTTCGATCCTGCAGATCCCGCGTCCCTCATGCCAAGAACTGTCGAGTCAGGTTGGGGGCGTCCAGGAGGGGGTCATGACAGTGAAGGGGGTGGAACCGTGGCCCCCTCTTCTTCTGTCGTCACGCCCCCTGGCCCCCCTCACTCGTCCGCGCACGTGCCTCGGGCCATGATCTGCGACCCCCCCTCTTGGACAACTGGACGCCCCTCTCCTCAGACGCCCCCGATCTCCGCTCGGGTCGTCGCCCGCTCCCCCTCCCCGAGGGCCGCGCGCGCCGAGGACTTCTTCGCGCGGCTCTGGTCTGACGTCGAGGGCCCCGAGGCTGGCCGCGGCGAGGCCCCGCGGGCGGCCGCGGTAGCGCGATGCCATCCTCGTCGCTGTCGCCGCCGCCGCCTCCGCCGCCGCCGCCTCCGCCGCCGCCGCAGTCGTCGTGGTCGTCGTGGTCATCGTCGTCGTCGTCGTCGTGGTCGTCGTCGGTGTCGTGGTCGTAGTCGTCGTCGTCGTCGACGTCGACGTCGTCGTCGTCTTCGACGTCCTCCCGCTGCGCACGCTCCGACGCATCGGCGTATCGTCTTGCTGCTCAGAGGGGAAACGATGTGCCAGTGCCGCTGCTCGTCCTGGAGAGCCCTCGTCGCCTCGGCCGGGAGTGCCCTCGACAGTCTGGTTCGAATGCGCCCCAGGAGATGTCTGGGGAGCAGCGGCACAGTGAGTTCTTTGAAAGAAGGTCTAGTTCAGGTCGGAAGGGGCTCAGTGGTTCTTTAGATTTGCATGCGTTCCGTTGCTCTTTGGTGGCGAGCCTCTTCGGTGTTCCTTCGGATGGTATGCCGTTCCTTTGACGTCACGGCTCGACTCGGAAGAAAGTGGTGTCGTTCATTGTGTATCGCTCCTTATTTCAGCAGCTTGTCTGCATCGGTGCCTTTTGTCCACGAGTAGTGTCCCGCTGCGCCCCGCAGGGCCCCAACCGCGTGAGGGCGAGTACACGTCCACCGCCCCCCACCTCCCCCCACTTCCCTCCACGTCGTCATCCTCCTCCTCTCATTCGGCGTGGCGTGTGTCTGTGCCACACGCTTGGTGAGGAAGAAACGGCTTTCAAGTGTAACCGTCTTCTCGCTCGTGCCGCACCTCGCCAGTCTCACCCCTACGCCTTTTAGTCTGCGTTCGGCGTGTGGCAGCATCCACGTTTTGGCCCAAGCGGAGCACTGTTGAAGCATGTTGTCCGCTCCTATCTTCTCCCTCCAGAGCACATCCCCCATGTCGTCGTCCTCCTCCTCCAGACGGCCAATGCAGTCTGTGATGTGAACCTCTGGAGGGCTGTCACATCGTGCGTAATTAGTTGGGTCCCGAGGGGCCCCCTCAGAGTACAATCTAGCCTTCTTTCTGGCAGTCAGTCCGCCAGCCTAAACAGGGACTCCACGATGTTCAGCTTAGCTCAGCTCCTGCTCCCTGTTCCCTTCTAGCGCGTGCGCAGCTGCAGCCGCCCAGGCATGCAGCCTATTGATGTCGAGGCGGCAGGGCACCATCGCAGTCGATCGATCGCCCAGGGATGGGTTCATTTTCTCCTCTTCCTCTCAGAGGGAGGAGGACGAAGAGGAGGAGAATGAGTAGATGCATGGGTAGAAGGAGCGGAAGGAGGAGGAAACACAGCAGCAGGAATGGGCGCAGCAGCAGGAGGAAACTGCCCTGGGGAGACGAACGGGATGTTGCGGGGTCGAGACAGCAGGAAAAGGGCGAGCAGGAGTAGCAGGAGCCGGACGGGGCGACGACGAGGATACATCCGTTCAGAGCGTTCCAGAACGCTTTCTGAACGTTCCGTGACATTATGAGAAGGCCGCGGCGCCCGAGACATGTTCCAGATCCACCAAGTCTCAAAGAGATCCCCGATTCATCCTTACCAGATTGTATCTTCGTCCTGACTTCGTCTTCAGGAGGAGGAGGAGGAAAAGGCTTGTCCAGGGAACCAGATTTTACGTCCCAGAAGGGGCCCTTTGTCTGTGTACTGTACATCCCCGGCTGAGCTTCAGGCGGGCGCACACACATCATGTATGTTGTTGTGTACTGGTTTGCCACGACCCTAATGACGGTTAAGAAACCCACCTGGCATCGAAGGGGACGTGAGCGCAAAGCTCGTGCCAGCGAGCTCTGGCAGCGAGGGGTCCCTAACAATTGCGTTTCAATGCGAATCCGTTGGTACGACACAATATGGAAATTCGCGCCAAGCGGCCATGAGCCAAGTGGAATTGGTGAACGTGCAGAAAGCTTCCAAAAGGCGCCGCAAGCGATATTTTCGCGGTCAGCGTTATGGATTCAGACAGAGAGAAGAGTGAATTCATCACGGAAGCCCGTTTGCATAGGCGCAGGCTAACCGCACAAAGCAACAGAAACACCGATAATCCAGCCGACCACCCTCTACGACAACTGAAGTGAAATTGTTCAGCCGATTACCAAGCGTACTTTTCCAGCTTCCAGCGCAGACGCGATGTGCCGTTCTTGTGAACCACCTATTGACGCCAAGGAGTTCGAAATATTCAAGGCCATCACCGGAGACCGAATGAACAAGTTGGCATCACTTGCGATAGCTGCCGAGGTTGCGAATCGATATTGCGAGGATGTCCAGAAAGAACATGCAAGACTGAAGATAATGTACATCAGTACTGAAGCATCACATCGCCAACTCAATACCTTGATAACGGGTCCAGATAAGGTGGTCGAGAGACAACAAATTCGCCGACCTCATAGAGGAACAAAAAGTCAGTGGATGGTGAGCTTGCCAGGATCGGAGCCAACATCGCTGAGTTGGAAGACAAGGAGGCGCCGCAAGACGATGACATTGATGATGCAAGCCACCAACCAGCAGAACAACATAACATGCTTACGCCGATGACCACGGATCCAAATAATGACTTGGCGAGGCAAGATCCAGCAGGCGCTGGCCCACCACCGACAGTGCCACCGCCAGCAGTCCCACACCGCACAGGTGCTGCACCAGCTTCGGCTGTGTACATGAGCCCAGGCAGCACTCAGCATGCGCCGCCGCCACCGCATCCCTCGCGCCATCCGGAGGTCCTGGCATGATTGATATTACGTATGCGGCGTATGCTATGATGGAAGTTCAGAAAGAGCAGCAGCTACGATTGGAAGAAATATGGGAGGTGGGTGTTCATGTCGGGGGGTGCCGCCGCACCAGCGACGGCGACCTCTCCGCAACCAGCGACGGCAGCCGACGCAGCCATCCACGTGCCAGTTATGGCCTGAGGCCAGCCGCAGCCGCCCCGCCAGCGAAGAGATCTTCGGCGTCGCCACCACCGAACGGAGTTCACGACTGCCCACCGAGATTGGCAGCACCATCGACGCCCCGCTGGCGCAAACCGCGCCGATGGGAGGCGCCCCGCGCCGTCTCCCAAGATACCAGTGGCGACAACTCCAGAGCCTGGCCCCCCAATTACGTTCGGCCCTGGCGGCGGCAAAAGAAAGGGGGCCACTGCGTCCGCGGCGGCGATGTTGACGGGAATTGCAGCCCCAGTCGAACGCGCGTCTATTCGCGAGATGATCGGGGAGGAAGAGGCCATTCCTATGATCGACCCAGAGCTGTTGCCGCCGCCCAGCCGATGTCCATCACGCAGGAGAACCCTTACTACAGGCACCAGCCTGCTCCGTGACAGAGGCCGCCCATGTGCCAACGTTCCAGGAAGAGAACGAGAAGGATGGAGCGGTCCTGAGGGCGACAGAGGAAGACCCCGCGACCGAGACCCCCCCCCCCCCCCCCCCCCCCCCCGCAAGGAGCCCAGGATGGCCTGAGCGGGACCTCGTCGCCAACAAGTGCTGACGGGGGCACGCCTGCCAGCCAGCTGGGGCAGGAATTCCGTGTTTCTCTTGCGAACTGATTAGACCCTTCAGGCCGCTCTCCCTGCCCCCCCAGGAGAGGCCCTCGTGGTCCTGCCTTAAGGGCTACTTTTATGTCTTCTTCGGGATTCGCCCATTGCCGCTCGGGTTTCGCGCGGTTTGGCCATTCCTCTGCGCAGAGAGAAGTGGCGAACCAGCGTCTGCTCGCAGATCGTTCTCAGCCAGCAGCCGTCAGCGACCGCAGAGGGCAAGCGTGCCAGCAGGGCATGCGCCCTAACCCCATCGCCCCACTGCGCTGCTTGGAACCATCCCACTTTTTAGCCATGGCAGTTCCTGCTGGTCTTGCCCGTGGGAAATGGGGGTCGCGCATCAATAGTTTTCGTTGGAAGTGCCAGACAAGTTGGCCATTGATCTCACGGGCTGGGATTTAGCATTGCGCGCAGGGCCCTGGGCGCACATTCGCGCGGTGCCAAATTGGACCGCAGCTCCCCTCGTGGAGATCCATGGGTTACGAGATCAGACTTTCCGTGATCGGGGCGTGTTCCAGAGGTGGCATGGCATGTCTGAGTCAGCCAGCCAAGAAGGCAGGCGCCGGGCATCCACGCTTCGAGCTCGGCTGCTGAGACTCAAATCTTCGGCGGCTGACCGCTCCATCACATGCGATCTAGCCCGGGCCCTTCCATGGGCCATCGTGTCCACGCGGCCCCGGATGGACCCGCGGGAAAAAACTCACCCCGACCCCTGTCCGGGGGAAAAATCTCGCAGGTTGCGCGCTCTGTGGCAGGAGGCGCGCGCGCGCCCTTGGTTCGAATGCTGGCGCGCCTCGCTTGGGCAGGCTGCAACTCGCCGAACTAGTTGTTTATTTGCTCGGGGCTAGGGCTCGTCAGTCTGCTGAGGGGCGCGGAGCAGGAACGGCTGCTCCCGGGCGCGATTGCGGGCGCGGAGGGCGACGTGGAACGAGTTCCGTCGTTTTGCCTCGCGAGAGGCTTCCTGGGGGCGCGCCGAGGCACGACGCGTCTCGACGCGCGGGCGTTCACAGGTCTGTGGGGCCCAGGTGTTTTTCGATTCGGGGATCGTCTTATCAATTCCCTCAAGGTATCCCCAAATCATTGGGGTCACATGAGCTCGAGGGTGAGTTCAGTCAATTTGGGAGGTCACCATCTCGGCGGCTTTCCCTTGCAAGGCTGCTGCGCGGGCTGATCCCCCCCCGTTGGATAAGCCGGATCGCTCGCGTTGTTCCTTCTACGCCTGCGCGTCAATTGTCCCAAAGTTTGGCGGGCGAGTCCTCTGGCACAATGCGTGTGTCAGTTGTTTGCAACGCGCGCGCCAATGCATTGTCTCTTGGACGAAGCGACCTCGCATTGCCAGATTTCGGCCGGAATATTGATGGATCGGTTTTACCCTCGTAGCGCAAAACAAGATTGCCTGCAGCGGGCGCCAGGCAACCCCGGCAAAAACAAAAATAACATTTTCACCGCGCAATGAATTCCGCCAAG